TGCCTAATCGATTTCCAAAGTGGTTGTACCATTTTACATTCCCACCAACAGTGTATAAGTGTTCCAGTCTCTCCACAACCTCTCCAGTATTTATTATTTTGTTTTTTGGATGAATGCTAGCCTTGTTGGGGTGAGATGATGTCTCATTGTAGTTTTGATGTGCATTTCTCTAATGGCTAATGATTGAGAGCATTTCTTCATGTGTCTGTTAGCTGCCTGAATATCTTCTTTGGCAAAGTGCCTGTTCATATCCTTTGCCCATTTTTTAACTGGGTTATTTGTCTTTTTTTTGTTGAGGTTTTGCAGTATCTTGTAGATTTTAGAGATTAGATGCTGATCGGATTTGTCGTAGCCAAAAGTTTTTTCCCAGTCTGTAGGTTGTCTTTTTACTCTTTTGGTGAAGTCTTTTGATGAGTGTAAGTGTTTGATTTTTAGGAGCTCCCAGTTGTCTAGTCTCTCTTCTGGTGCTTGTGCATTCTTACTTATGGTTTGCACTGTGTTTATGCCATGTATTAGGGCTCCTAGTGTTGTCCCTATTTTTTCTTCCACGATCTTTATTGTTTTCGATTTTATATTTAAGTCTTTGATCGATTTTGAGTTAGTTTTTGTGCATGGTGTGAGGTGTGGGTCTTGTTTCAGTTTTTTTGCAGATGGATATCCAGTTATGCCAGCACCGTTTGTTAAAGAGACTGTCTTTTCCCCAATTAATGGACTTTGGGCCTTTGTCAAATATCAGCTGCTCATAGGTGGATGAATTTATGTCTCGATTCTCAATTCTGTTCCACTGGTCTATGTATCTGTTGGTGTACCAGTACCAGGCTATTTTGACTACCGTGGCAGTATAGTAGGTTCTAAAATCAGGTAGTGTGAGGCCTCTCACCTTGTTCTTCTTCTTGAGTAATGCTTTACTTATTTGGGGCTTCTTCCCTTTCCATATGAGGTTGGTGATTTGTTTCTCCACCTCATTAAAAAATGCCAGTGGTATTTGGATTGGGATTGCATTGTATCTGTAGATTGCTTTGGGTAGAACTGACATTTTTCACAATGTTGCATCTACCTATCCATGAACAAGGTATGTTTTTCCACTTATGCAGGTCTCTTTTGGTTTCTTGCAGTAGTGTCTTGTAGTTTTCATTGTATAGATCTTTTATGTCTCTGGTTAGATTTATTCCTAAGTATTTTATCTTCTTGGGGGTTACTCTAAATGGTACTGATTTGGCAATTTCCTCTTTGAGGTTCTCTGTTGGTGTAAAGGAATCCAATGGATTTTTGTATGTTTATCTTGTATCCTGAAACTTTGCTGAAATCTTCTATTAGTTCTAGTCGTTTTCTTGTGGATTCTTTGGGGTTTTCTGTGTATAAGATCATATCATCTGCAAATAGAGATACTTTGACTTCTTCCCTACCAATCTGGATGCCCTTTCTTTCTTTTTCTAGCCTAATTGCTCTGGCTAGGACCTCTAGCACAATGCTGAATAAGAGTGGTGATAAAGGGCATCCTTGTCTGGTTCCCATTCTCAAGGGGAATGCTTTCAAAGTCTCTCCATTTAGGGTGATGTTGGCTGTTGGCTTTGTATAAATGCCCTTAATTATACTGAGGACTTTCCCTTCTATTCATATTGTGTTGAGAGTTTTCATCATGAATGGGTGTTGGACTTTGTCAAATGCCTTTTCTGCATTGATTGATAAGATCATGTGGTTCTTGTCTTTTATTTATGTGATGGATTACATTGATTGTTTTTCTAATGTTGAACCATTGCTGCATACCTGGTATAAATCCCACTTGATCATGGTGAATTATTTTTTTGATATGTTGAATTCTATTGGCTAGAATTTTGTTGAGTATTTTTGCGTCAATGTTCACGATGGATATTGTCTGTAATTTCTTTTTTTGTGGTGTCTTTACCTGGTTTTGGTATCAGGGTTATGCTGGCTTCATAGAATGAGTTTAGAAGTAGTGTTGTTAACTCTTCTCTGAAAGTTTGGTAGAATTCTCCAGTGAAGCCATCCAAGCCTGGGCTTTTTTTTGTTGGGAGTTTTTTAATTACCTTTTCAATCTCTTCTTTTGTTATGGGTTTATTTAGTTGTTCTACCTCTGTTTGTGTTAGTTTAGGTAGGTAGTGAGTTTCTAGAAATTTGTCCATTTCCTCTAGGTTTTCAAATTGGTTAGAGTACAATATTTCATAGTATTCTGTTATGATTCTTTTAATTTCAGTTGGGTCTGTTGTGGTTATCACCCATCTCATTTCTTATATGGGTTTATTGGCTTCCTCTCCTGTTTTCCTTTTGTCAGTTTGGCTATTGGTTTACCAATTTTATTGGTCTTTTCATGTAAGATCATATTTTTATCTGCTAAAAGCAGAGCAGAATATTAGAATTAAGAGTCCTGTAGAATCCAGGGTGTGTGGGGTAGAATTTAAGGCTCTCATTCCACTGCTATCGAGCTGACTCATAGCGACCCTATAGGACAGAGTAGAACTGCCCCATGGGGTTTCCAAGGCTGTAATCTTTAAGGAAGCAGACTGCCACATCTTTCTCCCAGGGAGCAGCTGGTGGGTTTGAACTACTGACTTTCTGGTTGGCAGCTGAGCGCTTTAACCACTGTGCCACCAGCGCTCCTCAGGCTCTCATTACAGGGATAGCAAAGACTTGGGGCTTCAGCTAGTCTAGTGACTGGTAACAGCTGCCTGGAAAGCCGTGTGCAAATGACTCTGAGTCTGCGCCTGGGCTGGTGTGGGTACGTTGAGAAAGGTAAAAACTTGGCCAGGAGAAATTACATAAAGAGCACCAGACTGGGAAACCAGCAACAGCATCCAGAGAAAACTCAGCACTGCCCCTGATGTTATCACTTGGTATTGCTGAGGTTGGAATTGTAAACATAACCCTGGAATGAGAGAGGGAGGTGAGATTTAAATACCATTCACGCCATGAAGGAAGCAGAGGACAGGCAGCAAAGCCGCGTTTGGGCTGAAGCTGTGGCTTTAATTAAGGCTCCTGTACTCATGGAAGATTAGCAGTGCAATAGGCTTTGTTCAGGAGAGCAAGACCTTCATGTAAAATTTCCCATTTTGGGGAAAGGGAGCATTTGTTACTATATGCCAGGTGAGATGTTATGCATCACTTACAAAACACAAGGTGACATGCATGTTTACCAGAGAGAGCAGTGTAAAATGTAACTCCTGTGCTCTGTATAGATATATACAGCCCTTAGATTTTGGTTTTTAGAAATCAAGACTCTTAAGATTCCCTACCCTATCATTCTATAACTCCAATGAACAATTCTTCCTCAGTGACCCAAAGACCCTCACCCACTACAGCAAATGTGCTGTTGAAAAGGTATATGCAAATCTAGTTTTTAAAAATCAAATCATATTTTCAATGCACCAAGGGTTTATTACTTATGCCAATTCCTTGAAAACTAGCCACGCTTAGTTTAACTTTTGTGTAAATCCAGATTCTCAGCTGTTGCAGGGCTTCAAGTGAGGTATTACCTGTAGCCTGGATTGTTTAGGAATCCCTGGGGGTACAAACAGTTAATGTGCTCAGCTGCTAACCGAAAGGCTGGAAGTTCTAGTCCACCTAGAGGAACCTTGGAAGAAAGGCCTGGCAATCTACTGAAAAAATCAGCCATTGAAAACCCTATGGAGCACAGTTCTACTTTTACACACATGGGGTCTTACACACATGGATTTGGAATTGACTCCACAGGAACTGGTTAATATATGTTTACTGCTGTCTTTCAAGCTGAACTTTTTTCTGGGCTGAAACATTCTTAGGGCCACTGTGCCCTGACAATGTAAATATATATGGAGAGCCCACTAAGACGTATACTAGGTTATTATACATTAATCTCTCATACAGGTAACTCAGTATCTTTCCTGCATTCAACATTTTGGCTTTGTTTTTCCTTCACAGCATGAAAAATTGCTAAATCAGCTCCGGCTGACTAGACTTTCTTTTCATTTCAAATAATTATATGACACATTTAAATTGTACAAACACACTAAACCATATCTCAAATGGAGTTGAGTATTCAAAAAATATATTTTATGACTCAAGGTTGTTAAGATTTATTTGCATAAAAATGCCAGTATTTTCCCACCAAGTCCCTAGAAATATACCACCACTCACCTAAGGAAGAGTGGTACGGCAAATGTGCTACTGATCCTTAAGAAACAGATAAATTCTAAACAGTCGTGTGGAAGCAGTGCCAAGAAAACTGGTAGTGCCCAGAGACCCGAGGGGCAAAGGACCTGAGTCTGTCAGAGTTTGTGTGACAATGTGCGGCGTTCAGATGTAGAATTCCTCCATTTCGCCATCTCCAGGGCCAGCCAGTGTTGGGGGTGGTGGGATGTCTCTGCCCGTTGGCTTGACTTTGGAAAGGGCACAAGGGGGTTCCTGGGATGACTCTGTGAGTGAGGAGGTGCCGGAAGCCGAGGAAGCAGCAACAGACGTCACTGAGGAGCTGGAAGACCCTTTGGTGAAGAAAGGAAGGGAAGGCCTGGAGGCCTCGAAGGCCACCGCGCTCACAGCAGGCAGTGGTCCTTCTCTGGAATCCTTGTGCTTGGGCCAGCGGCTGCCGCATGTTTCTGAGGGGAGGCCTGTCTCCACACTGCTGCAAAACCTACTGGGTGCAGAGTACGCAGACACCACAGAGAGGTCTGAGGAGGACAGCCTCAGGCCCGTGTCCACGTCAGTCTCCTGGGCACCCTCTAAGTCATCAATGGAGAGAAGCTGGCCGTGCCTCCACTCTGCTGCCCTCTGCCCTGGGGTACCTGTGTATGAGAGCCACTGTGGTTCAGCCAGGGGGGCTGGGGAGGGAGCTCCCAAAGGCAAACAAAACAAGGACTTGCTTCTCTGGAGAGACCAGGGATGGCTGGGAGGGCTGCTGGCTCGTCTGGCAAAGTCCTGCTGGTCGCCGTTACGCAGGCGCACCTGGCCAAGCCCCGGGCATGGACCGGCCGGCAGGGGCTGCTGGCTGCGGCCAGGGGTGCAGCTCAGTGCAGTGCTGTTTGGAGAGGGAATGCAAGGAGGTGTCTTCTCTGAGGAGTGGTGGGCTCTGCTGGGTTTGGAAAGCTTCCTGTGCACCCTTTGTGCCTGTTGGGGAAAGAGGGCATATCACGTTAGTGCAGGACTGGGGGTCAACTGCTGATGGGGTTTCACTGTTACTGAGAAACTGTTTCAATTCTCCTGGAATTCAGATTTCTGGGTTCATGGAGTTGGGGTGACCCACCTAGGCCATTTGCCCTTAGGAGTCCTTTTGAACATTGAGGCTTTAAGGAACTGGTTTTCCTCGGGTCACCTTCAAGTCAAACAGTAGCCTACTAAGCAGCTTAGTGAGACCGTGCAGCCAGTTTCCAAGAGCAGGAACTCTAGGGTCTGACTGGAAGCTGCCTGCCCCTTGTCATGAGTGGGTTCTGACTCACAGTTTTAGGATACATGGTATGTCCTTAATGACTGTTTTTACAAGTGACTCACCCTGAAACCCTGCACTTGCTCTGAGAAGCCAACATGAAAGGAATTTACAATGACCCTCAGGAGACTACCCTGCCCGGACTGGACACTGCCAACATAACCTGCTCTCACTGTCCTCTCTTCAGAGCACCTTCCCAATACCTTCGGGTGACGCTGCCCTAGCCAATTCGTATTCACTCAACAATAAATACATTCTGTTAGACTAATTTCTGGTGTTTCTTTGGGAGTTTAGGTTTTTAACATTACTCATCATGGAACACCTTCCAGTAACAACAATCTCACGGCACCACCAGAAATTTCATTCTCCAAAGTAAAGCAAAGGTAGAAGCAGCGGTAGAGGTACACTCAGTTTGAGGAGACATCTCCCAGCCTAGGAGAAGATTCAGCTTCCCTTCACACTGGGGAATAAAGCTCAATCTGCACATGCAAAGGGCAAGCAACACACTCCCAACAAGAGGAAGGACCTGGCTCAGCATGGTTAAGGGCGATAAGAATTACTATTAAATGCAAAAACAGTGCTAGGAGGGTTTCTGTTTCCCTTCAGCCAAAGCATCATGATTGTGCTCACCTGTAGGTGCTATTTTGAAATGTTACTGATGAGCGGGTGGCGGCCATCAGGGCCATGCACAGGCAATTTCAGATCAGATCAACATGGGACTTGATTCCAGTCCAGGCGTGACTGCCAGGGCGCAACCTCAGGGGTTGCCGTGGTTCAGGGCAGTCAGTCTTTAATGCATGAGAAGCCAGCAGGAGATTAGCATTTATTTACGTGCTATTAGGAACTGGAGTCCTGGGAGATGCAAACAATTAACTTTCTCAGCTGCTAACCAAAAGGCTGGAGGGTCCAGTCCACCCAGAGGTGCCTTGGAAGAAAGGCTTGGCAATCTACTTCTGAAAAATCAGCTACTGAAAGCCCTATGGAGCACAGTTTTACTCTGGCACACATGTGGTTGCCATGTGTTGGAGTCAATGCAACAGCAATTAATTTTATTAAGAACTACTGATTCCTCCATGTTTATTTTGCCTTTTAGAAACTATGTACAGGAAAAGGAGCCACTAACTCTGCCTAACCCCTTTAAGGTCGCACCCTGTCCTCCTCTTCAGCAGACCGACCCTCCCTCCCCCTCACTGCAATCCTCTCAGGAACCTGTGTCTGTCTCATGGAGCTGGGATCCTCTCTTCTCAGGCACATTTGTACCCGGGTCTGCTTCTCTCAGATCCTCACCCTGGTCTGGCTCAATGCCCGCGTCTGCAGGCAGCCTTACTACGCAAAGTTCTAATTAAATAAAGGATTCAGCATCAGTGGGTCTGGCCTCATTTAGTATACAAGCATGTGATTCATGAATCCTTGAAATAAGAAAAGGGTTCTGAATGGGGTTCATATAAGGGATACCTCCTGGCGCCCAGCAGGCTAGGAGACACGGCCCTTCCCTAGACAGCAAACACCCCGCCTCCCTGTTAAACAGGAGCCTGGTTTTCCCACAGCCACTTAGAAAATTTGGTGCAATGCAGTATACATTTATTGTGTACCTACCGTGGGTAAACGGAGCCCTGGTGGCTCAAACAGTCGAGTGCCTAACTAGTAACTGAAAGGTTGGCAGTTCGAACCCACCCAGTGGCTCCATGAGAGAAAGACCTGGTGATCTGCTTCTATAAAGATTACAGCCAAGAAAACCCTATGGGGTAGTTCTATTTTATCACTTGAGGTCACCAAGAATCGGGGGCAACTCGATGGCACCCAACACCACCACTGTCGATAAAGGAGGGGAAACTAAAATGGGACTGTCTTCGACCATATGAAGCTTACATTTCACTGAGGGCAGAAATAACTCAGACAAGACAGAAAGTGGCCACAGGCATGGAAAGGCCAAGAGGGAGGGACCATGCTAGGCTGGTGGGTGAGGAAAAGTCTTCAGTGGAGGTGGCCCCACAGGGGGCCTTAGAGAATGGGCAGCTGTGTTCCTGGAGGCTGGTGTGAGTCGGAGGGGCTGGACTGGGGAGAAGACCAGCACAAGCAGAGGCCTGGTGAGGCAGGTGAGTGAGGGGCCTGCATGGGGGAAGTTTGGTTAGAGTCCCAGGTGCAGGAAAAGGAGTGATGGGAGGTCAAGTTGGGAATGGAGATTAGGGCTATATTGCTCAAAGAGACCTTGACCACCTGGTTAAGAAATCCACATCCTTACCCCTCTGCTAGAGATTCAGTCTTGGTTATGTTTCTTCTATATGACCACTCCTTTCACTGAGTTCCAAGATCTTCGTTTGCCTAATTCCAGACATCTCTAAATCCTATTGACAGACTAACTTATTTTCTTTTCATCCAATGTTGCTGTTGTTAGTTGTCATCGTGTCAGCTCTAACTCATGGTGACCTTACATACAACAGCACAAACTGTTGCCCAGTTCTGTGCCATCCTTACAATCGTTGTGGTTATTATGTCAATCCATCTCACTGAGGGTTCCCTCGTTTTCACTGAGCCTCTACTTTACCACACATGATGTCCTTTTCTAGCGATTGGTCTTTCCTGAGAATGTGTCCAATGTAAGAGAGCCAAAGTCTTGCCATCCTTGTTTCTAAGGAGCATTCCAGTTGTATTTCTTCCAAGACTTGTTTGTTCTTCTGGCCGTCCACCGTATATTCAGTATTCTTCACCAACACCACAATTCAAATGCATCAATTCTTCTTTTGTCTTCCTCTTCATTGTTCGACATTAACTGAGGGTACTGTATACATAGCTTCTCAGCTGGTGTGTCTCAGCTTTGAATGGGTTATTAAAGATGTGCCAAGATACTATTTTCACAAATAGCCTCCTAGAGCATATCAATATTATCATTACAATTCCCTGGTGCTCTCTGACAGGAAAAAGGTCTGAAGAGACAGACACAGTTAACTTTGAATAAAGCATGGTCTTTGCCCCCAAGGAGTTAGCAATATAACATTCAAGTATAATAAAATGAGCCATGATTGGAATCTGTATAGGGATGCTGGGAGCACAAAGAAGAAGTGGTCAGCTTTATGCTGGGGTGAGGCAGTGCGGTGAGTGGTAAGAAGAGCTTGCTTTGGGAAGTCATGCTTCAACAAAGCCGGCGGTGGGGACTCGGGGAGACAGAAAGGGCAGGATGGCACAGAGCAGCCTGAACAGACACTGGGAGGCAGGAGTTAAAGCAAGAGGTGAGGCTGGGGGGTGAGAGCAGCCTTGTCACTGAGGCTGGAATCACATGCTGGTATGAGGCACAGAAAGGTTTTTAAGCAAGCCGGTGGCAGGGTCAGATTTGTGGCACGGTGTGAAGAAGAATGGATTGGCGTGGACAAGGCTGGAGGCAGGGAGACCATTTGGAAGATACCATAGTAGTCTTTTAAAGTTTGGGACAAATGAGCCACATTTTCAGTTGCTTGCATGAGTCTCTTCTCAATCAGCAATTCAGATATTCAGGATTTTCTATGAATTCTCTGTCTTACACTTCTGATTCTCTCCTTAGTACTCAGTCTCTGCATTCAGGATTCTGTTCTTTTTCTTTTCTTCCTTCCTCCTTCCCTGCTTACTTCTCTTTATTTTCCTTTGTCCCCATGACTTGGTCACATTCTCCCTCTTCAGGCTCTGAACAGCATACTGAAATTCTCAGGTCGTCCTGCTACGGGTGGCTTAAGGAGCTAAAGGTGAAGAGCAGCAATTAAGGAGATTTCTGATAGTCTGAATTATGGATCCCTGTAGAATGTGATGCAAAATGCTTTTAGCACAGGTAGTAACTGGGTGCAGTGATTCCTCTAAAGATCACACTCCACAAGGCCATTCCCTCCATGAAGCTTCAGTTTGGAGCAGCTCCAGATTTTATGGGAACGGAGGACCTAGATGAATATGGGAAAGAAAGGTTTTGGGCATAGCCGATTCCTTCTGGGGCAGGATTCACGCATCAGGGCTTGCTGTTCTGTGTTCCCACTGCACCCGACCTCCCAACCCTGCCCTTTGGACTGTGTACTGTAAGACTCTGGTTAATGATCTATCTTCTCTGCAAGGATCTGGGCACCATGAGGGAGATCCTGCTCAACACATGCTCTGCCCAATGCCTGCCCCATGCCTGCCCCAAGCATAAGAATGAATGAAGAGTCACAGCTTTGGGGTGGCATAAGAAGAGGACTCAGAAGGCCCAGGTGTGCCTGAGAGGTGTCACAGCTGGATGGCTCTTGGATTGACCGATTTTCTCAATTATTTGAGTTTGGCTAAATCAGAGAAAATAAGTCATGAGGCTCGTTAAAGATGGAAGCCCTTGGGTATGGAGACAACATTAATTAATTAAAATGTTTATCTTATTTTTCCCAAGGGCGAATTCTTCTGGATGCCCTAATGCTGTTCTCTTACTTGGAAAGTATGCACCACCCGGTAACTTCCACCTTCGGAGGCTTATTCAAGAAACATGCTCTCGGTGAGAATTTCTGCAGTCTCGAGTCTGTGTTAAAAATAAGCCTTCCGGGGTATCAATTCATGAGAAGCAAAGGGCCACAGTTCCCATGAAAAGAACTGCTAGGGGACAGCTATATTTTTCCAGTGTCAGGAGATAGGGCTGCACTAAATTTGACTTAAAACCAGGCATGACTAGCAGAAAGGACTAATATTTGTGGTTTTGGGAGAT